ACACACACACACACACACACACACAGACACACACACACACACACACACACACGCACGCACACACACAGACACACACACACAGCGCACACACACACATGCGCACGCGCGCACACTATTTATAAGTAGAGCCATAGCCTGGTCATGGCAGCCCTCTGGAGGCGGAGGCAGGAGGATTGTGGTGAGTTTTCAGCCAGCCTGGACTACACATGACAATTGTTTCTCAATCAAATTCAGCCCGGTGTGAGACACGGCTTTAATCTCAGCAGAGGCAGGAGGGTCTGTGAGCTCAGGGCCAGCCTGGGCTACACGGTGAGACCCGGTCTCCATCAGTCAATCCTGTGACATTCGGGGCTGGGAATCGCAGGTCGAGGACCCGAGATCGTCAGTGGGGTCCACTCAGCTCCTTGATTTTGTTTTTCTTTTTGGTTGCTTTTCACTGATGATCCCAGGCTAGCCTCAGAGTTGTGACAATCCCCCTGCCTCAGCACTGGGACGACAGGTGGGTGGAGTTACTTGTGGCCAGGGCTGCGCTCAGTGGAGACACTGTCTTGCTGAAGCCCTGGGGTCCATCCCAGCAGGGCTATCCTCTGCTACGTCGGGGTTTCGAGGCCAGCCTGGGTTACATGCGACCCTGGAAAGGAGAGGGGAGAGGGCCGGCGGGAGGGCTCAGTGGCGGAACAGTGGCTGCCGAGCCTGAGGCCGGGCGTTCAGTCCTCCTCAGGACCCGTACGGACAGACAGACAGAATCCCCGGGGCCTTTCCAACTCCACGCGGGAGCACACAAAAAATAAATACACGCGAAGACTTTTATTTTAATTTGCTTAAAAGCCAGGCAAGGTGGGGCACGCCCGTCACCTCAGCCTCAGCAGGGTAGTCACCGCGAGTTCAAGGCCAGCCCGGGGCTCCAGACCGAGTCTACAAACACACACTCAACTAGCCAGCTACAGTGCAAGCAAAGAAGCCGGAGCTACTTGGAAAGCTGAGGCAGGAGGATTACGTCAACACAGAAATTTTCACTACTCTAGAATTTTCTGTCAGGATATTATTATTGTTGTTGTTGCTTGAGGCGGGGTCTCATGTAGCCCAGGCTGGCCTCAAACTCCCTATGTAGACAAGGACATCCTTGGACTTCTGGTCCTTCTGTCTTTGTCTCCCAAGATCTCGGATGACAGGCCTGAACACCCTGTCCCATGCTGCAGAGGGGACCCAGGGCTTTGTGCACGCTGGGCAAGCACTCCACCAACTAAGCTACGAGCACTCTGCGCACTGAGCTACGAGCACTCTGCGCACTGAGCACTCTGCGCACTGAGCTACGAGCACTCTGCGCACTGAGCACTCTGCGCACTGAGCTCCGAGCACTCTGCCTGCTGAGGCCCCGCCCCGAGCCCCTGGCTGGGAGCCTTTTACCAAACTACCGACCCCCAGCACATTCCAGCACATGTTTTCACTCTCTGTCCCCAAACAGGTGACTTGACCTCGTCATCTGACCACAGTTGTGCAAGGTGACAACCTGCAGGCATTTTCCTCCAAAGTCCACGTGCCTCACAAAGAGGTCACCGAGGTGGGGCTCCTGTCTCGGGGGTGCAGGAGACCAAGGGGATCCCTTGCCCCACCCCAGAGCAACTGTTTTTCTCTGGGCAGAGAAGGCGAGACTCGGATCCAGGGCCGGAGGAAGCGGGATCGCGGATATCCAGCAGACCTCTGTCTTCCCGGCCCGGCCCGGTCCCAGAACCGGGTCCCAGGCGGTGACCTCATCGCGCTCCGGGGCCTGGCCGCTCTGTGGACTCTGCTGCAGTTAGGCAGCTAGGGTTCAGGGGAGGACATTTGTATCGATTCATAAGCAGTAGATTCACAGAGAGAACATGTAGCCCAGGCTGTCCCTGAATGCTAATCCTCCCGCCCAGTCCTGGGGTGACAGACGTGTGTTACCCCACCAGGTCCATGCACTGCTGCATGTGGTCCCCACGGTTTCGTTGACCGAGGTGAGCTCTTCACCAGGTGAACCCCAACTGCCCTCCCCCTGAGCCACAGGCACCGCCCACGGGGCTCAGCCCAGGCCCCTGCTTTTTCCAGATCCCCCTGGGGCCATGCGGGGGGGGGGTGGGGGTGGGGTGGGGATGCCTGTGTCCCCATGGCCTCGGGACAGTCAGGGGAGGAGCCGGAGGCTGTACACGGTTTCTTAACAGAAGGCTGCAAACCGGCCCGGCCACATTCGCAGGCCACCTCTGCTCACGCTGTTTACATTTGACTCTTGACCTGGATCTGGACGCACGCGTGCGCGGCTTTCTCCGTGGCCACGGCTGCTCAGGGTCCCCTTTCCCCTGGATCAGGGACCTGGAGATTGCCCAAGAGAAGTCCAGAGCCGGGAGCGTCCCTGCACTGTGGCCTGTGGGCTCTGTCCTCCGTCGTAGTCAGAGAGGGACGGGACGTCGTCTTCTTTTTATTATTTATTTTTGTGGGGACCAATTCTTATGTAGCACAGGCTAGCCTCAAGCTGGCTGTGTAGCTGAGGGCGGTCTTGAACTCCCAGCCTCTGCTGTGTGTGCAGAGGGTCGGCACTGTGGCCAGCTTGTGTGGCGCTCCGATGGGACCCAGGGCCTCCTGCGTGCTAGGCAAGCGCGGTCCCCTCTGAGCCACGAGCACTGTTCTCGTAGGGTCCCCTGGAGGGTGATGAAGCTGAACTGGGCTAGCGGTGGCTTCGGTCCAGGCAGCTCTGCGAGCTGTGATGTCACCAGAGTTCATGCCTTTCCATTTTACCTCCAGACCTGTTGGGGTCACAGGGTTCTCTGATAAGGGAGACCTCGTCCCAGGGGACAAAGGTCACGGTGTCACCACAGCGAGCTCCAGGAGCAAGGCCACAGTGCTCTGCACCCACGGAGCCCTGTGTACCTGCCACCCGTCTGGGCCACCCAGAACCTGTCACGGCGGGGGGGTGAGGGGGTGGGGGGGCTCAGGGTGCCGTCTGGTTCCGCCGTTTTGCTCTGTCCAGGCTGCGCCCTCTGCCACCCGGTCGGAGACGGCCTGTGAGTCCGTAACTGAACACAAAATCTCCCAACAAGCAAGCACATGCTGTTGTCCCAGCTCTGCAGAGCTGAGGCAGGGGGATTGGGCCATCCTCAGCTACACAGTCATGGGGGGAGGGGGGAGATGATGTGAGGCCTGTCCCCAAAACAAACAAACAGAAAAGGAGCTGGAGAGATGGTGTGCGTGTGTGTGCACCTCAGTGTGTGTGGAGCTCAGACCACTTCGGGAAATCTGTCCTCACCGTCCGCTCTGTAAGTCCCCGGGCTTGAACTCGGGTTCTCAGGCTGGGCAGCAGCGCCCTTACCCACCGAGTCGTCTCTGGCCCGTGCCTTCTGTCTTTGATGGAATATTACTCACCCATGAGAAAGAACAAAGGGTGTGAGCGGTGGTGGTGGTGATGTCCTGAGGGGAGACAGAGGCCGCTCACGATGTGAGGCTCCTGTCCCAGGACTTTCCCCCTACAGCAGAAACGAAGAACGGGGCCGAGGTTACCGAGGTCGGCTGCCATGACACAGAGCAGAGTCAGGGCAGCAGCGGTGGCCTGCGTCCTGGAGGGGGTTACATGGCCATATGCGCTTCTCACACCGCTGTCCCCAGGGAACCCCAAAGGGTTTCACTGTGTGTGTAGGAGCCCTTAACAAGAGCCACATCGTTGATGGGAGTCCTAAAGAAGGGTCCTCGTCCAGGGGCGGTGGCGCACGCCTTTAATCCCGGTGCTTGGCAGGCAGAGTCAGGTGGATCTCTGTGAGTTCAAGGCCAGCCTGGGCTACAGATGGAGTTCTGGGACAGCCAGGGCTACACAGAGAAACCCTGTCTCAGGGAGGAATAAAAAGGAACGGTTGCTGTGATTTGCCTCCTCCTTTTTCCTGAGTTTCCTTATTGGCTTTTGGTAGTGGTTGTTTTGTTGGACAGAGGTCTCAGGTAGCCCAGGCTGGCCTTGAACTCACTATGTAGTCAAGGATAACCTTGGATTCCTGACCCTCCTGCCTCCACTTACTGAGCGCTGGGGAGGAGACAGGCACCTCTGTGCCTGCCCTAAGACCTTCCTGTGTGACCCGTTCTTGCCGGTCTCTCGCTGGAGTCCTCAGGGTCATGCGGTCCCTGTGGCCATGGAGCATGCCTCCGTCACTCTCGTTTATTTACTTCCTTACTTATTCATTAATTTATTTCTGAGACAGGGTTTCTCTCTGTAGCCCAGGCTGGCCTTGAACTCACAGAGATCCGCCTGCCTCTGCCTCCCAAGTGCTGGGATTAATGGCCTGTGCCACCCCCCCCCAGATTATGTATGTATGTAGTATGTATTTATGGGTTTTGAGACAGGGTCTCACTGTGTAGCCATGGCTGTCCTAGAACTCGCCATGTAGACCAGGCTGGCCTCTGCCTCCACGCCTGGGCCTCGTTCCTCTGATCTGTGGGTTTTCCCTGTGTCTGTCAGCACCGGGCTGAGGCACTGTGTCCCCCTCTGCCTCCCACGGCCACAGGTCTCGAAGGTGGAGAATGTTTCACCCGTCTCGTCATCTTTTAGTCTCCTGTCTTCGGACTCTGGGTTGAGGAGGGTCAGGGAGGGGGTCGGATGGGTTGTATGAGGCCAGGGCCATGGCTCAGCCACAAAGAACTGTCCCGGGAGCCTGGGCACGCCTGGCCAATTCCCTGCCCCCTGGACCTCAGAAGGGGCTCCCCTGGGTACCCCAGCTCTTCCCACCCCAGCATGTCAGGTTCCAAGCGGACCGCCTCTGAGGGCCTCAGCGGGGCCGGTGAGCAGGGACACAGGGTCTCTTGGAGTCCATGGAACCAAAAAGGGACTGAGACAAAGCCCTCAGGCCCCAGGGACTTGTGTGGCTGTCCGGGGGAGCTCCTGGCATGGAGTGGGTGGAGGCCCGGCCTCACACACAGCACCCAGGACTCCACACACACCGTGATGCCGTCCAGGAGCCCCTGGGTGACTTGATGACCTGTTCCCCCTCGTTCCCAGCTCTGTGTCTCTGTGAGCGTCTCCACCAAGCGTGGTTACCATGTCAGCCTCCCTCCGGCAGCACCCGACGGTGTAATTATATCTCTCCCCAGGACGAGAGCTAAAACCCAGCCCTGGCCTCCTGGCTTCTCACCCCAGCTCCGGCAGCACACCCAGGGCTGCTCCAAAGGCAAGCGCTGTTCTGAAAGGCCGTCACCCCAAGTGGCACCCCGAGTCCTCCCCTGCTGCCGGCAGCCTGGTGCTGCAGTCCCCGTGGACGCCCCCGGGAGCTCTGTCCCCCAGGGCTGCCACGTGCTGAGCCTGGTGGCCAGCCGCCTGTGGGGAGTGCAGGCGGCTGACTCAGCAGCCCGCGTGTTTGCCTGTTGTTGACTCGTGGGGGGGCATGGCTGGGCCGTGAGTCAGGGACTAGCTGGTGACACATACTTCTGCCAGGACAACAGGGGACAGCCTGCAGGGTGCAGGGAGGGCCTGAGTCGCACCTCAGAGTGAGCTGACCCATGAAAAAAAACAACCGTGTACCAGGAGAAGCATGGAAGACAGAACATGTCCAGACATGTATGTGGGCAAACACAGCCATGTCCATACTGAGATATGCAGAGGTGTGTGTGTGTGTGCGCGCACATGAGCAGTATCGGCCTGGAATCCCTGTGAGGGTCTGGGGGCGTGGTCAGGGTGGAGCCCCGCCTAGAATCCCCCAGTGAGGGGCTGGGGGCGTGGTCATGGTGGAGCCCTGCCTGGAATCCCCCAGTGAGGTGCTGGGGGCGGGGTCAGGGTGGAGCCCCGCCCAGAATGCCCCAGTGAGGGGCTGGGGGCGTGGTCATGGTGGAGCCCTGCCTGGAATCCCCCAGTGAGGTGCTGGGGGCGTGGTCAGGGTGGAGCCCTGCCTGGAATCCCCCAGGGAGGTGCTGGGGGCGGGGTCAGGGTGGAGCCCCGCCCAGAATGCCCCAGTGAGGGGCTGGGGGCGTGGTCATGGTGGAGCCCCGCCTAGAATCCCCCAGGGAGGGGCTGGGGGCGTGGTCAGGGTGGAGCCCCGCCTGGAATCCCCCAGGGAGGGGCTGGGGGCGTGGTCAGGGTGGAGCCCCGCCTGGAATCCCCCAGGGAGGGGCTGGGGGCGGGGTTCCTCCGTTGAGCCCTGGCTCTGCATGCACTTCGTGAGACACACATGCCCATACCGCATGCCTGTGCAGAGACCCCCTGTGCACACACAGCACACACCTGAAGACAGACACTGACCTGCTCCCGCTTCCATCTGGGCACACTGATCACACACACACCCTCACACGGATGCATCCTTACATGGATGTGCACACACATGTGCTGAGCAGGACCCCCAGCCCCCCACTTCCCAGCCTCCCAGGAAAACACACACTGAGGCCTGGCCTTGTTCTCTGAACCCAACTATATTTAGCTGAAGAGAATCTTAGGTTTCCTTGTCCTGCCTAGAAGTCCTGATGAGTGATTCCTCTGCAGCCACATGCTGAGGAATCTCTACCCCTGGGTGCTGGACGTCTGCCCACACCCCAGGGAGCCAGGCAGGGCCAAAGATGTTTTTCTATTATTATTATTAATTGAAACCTGATTAAGAACTTTTTTTTTCCAAGACAGGGTTTCTCTGTGTAGCCCTGGCTGTCCTGGATCTCACTCTGTAGCCCAGGCTGGCCTTGAACTCAGAGATCCTCCTGCCTCTGCCTTCCAGAGTGCTGGGATCAAAGGTGTGCGCCACCACTGCCCGGCAAGAACATTGTTAAACTGGATGTGGTAGCTTATGCCTGTCAACCCAGACCTTAAGAAACTGAGGCAGGAGAATGGCCAATTGTTCCAGGCCAGCCTGGGCTGCATACAGAGACTCTGTCACCAACAAAGCAAACAAAAGTTGATGTCTATTCGTCTTTATCTGCAACAAAAAAATCACAAAGCGATTCCATTGAGCCTCGCTTAATGTGACATTTGATAAAACTGTGGCCAAGGGCTGACAAGAGGGCTCAGCAGGAAAAGGTGATTGCAGCCAAGACAGACCGACGACCTGTGTTCAATCCCAGGGACCCACATGGAAGGAGATAACAGAGTCCCACAAGTTGTCCCCTGACCTCTGCATGGATGCTGTAACCCACGCAAACACTCACACTCACACACACACACACACACTCACACACACACACTCACACACACACACACACTCACACACACACACTCACACACACACACTCACACACACACACACACACACTTATGCACATGCATCTGAACATGCAAACAGGCATGCATACACAAATATTTTTCAACAATAAAATGTCAGGGCCTCCAAGATGGCTGGTCTGATAAAGACACTTGCCACCAAGCCTGGGTGGGTTCAATCCCCGGGAGAGAGCCAACTACTCTGGTACGTCCTCTGACCGCATCCACAACACACAAAATATAAGTAAGTGTCATGGGGGGTAGGGTGTGGCTCAGCACTGCGGAGGCCCTGGCGTCTGCCCCGCCGCCTGGGCTGTCCGAGAGTCCCTCCTCGAGGTGACTTCCCCAGGAAGACCATCTCATGTAGGAAACGAAAGTGAAGCCTTCACCATTGTCCCACCGACCTCGGGTAGCCGAGCTGTGCCCAGGTCACTGGCTCTTCTGTCATCCTGCGGCAACAAAGCCTCTGCTTGAATTCCCTAGCTCGGGACAGACAGGGACAGACAGACAGACAGTCTTCAGCTGAATTATCATCAGGCCCAGCCTGGGCCATGCCAGTCACAAGTTCTGGACCTGTTGAATGAATGAATGAATGAATGAATGAATGAATGAATGAATGAATGAATGAATGACTGTGTGAACGGCTGAGGGAGGGGCCTGGGGCGGGGCTGGGGTGACCACAGTCCCTGATCCCGTCCCCCATCATGTCCATCTCCCAGTGATTGCTGGCCCCCTGGCACCCCACCCGCAGGCACGGACGGACACTGGCAGGTACTGGGTGCCCGCTCCCTGCTCTGAGCAGCTGGGCTCGGAGAGCAGCCGGCCAGTCCTCGGAGGGGTCGGAGGGTCGGGCCGGGTGGTTCCGGGCTCGTGGGTCTGAGCAGCCCGCGGGTCTGAGCAGCCCGTGGGTCTGAGCAGCTCGTGGGTCTGAGCAGCCCGTGGGTCTGAGCAGCCCGCGGGTCTGAGCAGCCCG